CCTATCTTGCCCTCTTCCAGCTGAAGGGAGGAGGGATTGCCTGCCAGAGCTCTTGGCAATTTGCTGTGGCCCGCTGTGACAGCATGCCAGCCTCCCAGCCTACTTCCCTAGGACATAGGCAGGGTGCGAGCGCCGTTCTCAGACTGGTCTCCACAGGCGTGCATGGTTGGCAGAGTGTGAGGAGAACATTGCTGGGCTTAACCTGCTCTCCTTGTTTGGCAGAGGAGGAGCAGGCGCAGCGTTCAGAATGCAAACTTCCCACTGGGTTTGTCTAGTCATGGTTTCACATGCTCAGCAAAGCTCTTGCATGGTTTAACCACAAGGATAGGAGGGAAAGAAGTTTGACTAGTTGCAACTTCTTTCAAAAAGGAGGCAGTCCTTTCACTAATGAGCCTGATGTTTTAATCTTGCTCTGTCCCACTGACGTGCAGAATGCCTTTAGAAGCCAAAGTACAAAACCACCTCTTTTGGGTGGATGTCTGGATGAAAGGAGGGAAGAAGGTAATCGAGCCGAGAGCTTTAAACACCTTCTGCTTACCTGGAGCTGCTAGTATTTCATTTAAATAACCAGAAAAGAACTTGCATTGCCATTTCAGACTCTTAATAGGGACAGTTTCTGATGGATTTCAGGGTCTTCTGAGTCTTATCAATGGATCAAGACTAAATCGTGGTGTCTTGTCATTGAGGAAAATAGCCCTTTCACATTGGTGCTTTCTTTGTTTTTTTGGAGGGTGAACTTAACCATTTCCATCCTCTTCTAGCTTAACTCACAGGAGTTTTGCTTAAATTTGACCGTGCTGCCTTTCAGTCCTCTGGGCTGATCAGACTGCGGATGTTCTGCAAAGTGTGCCAGCTTGCTGTTCCTTTCAAGCTGCCTTTCCTCTCGAGCCAGAATCCTTGCCTTCTGGTCAAGCTCAGGTTTACAGTGGCTAATTGGGTGTGACTCTGGAAAGTTCACTGCTGCCTTGTTGCCTGGGACATTGCTTTGATGGAATAAGGTGCATGATGTGGAATTCTTGTGTCTGGATATAGATATATATTTATTCAAAGATGGGCAGAGGTCATCTATGGGCATGGGAAAACTTAAACCTCCACGCTGTAAGTAGTCATTCCTGAGATATCTGAATTGTTGATCTATAGAGTGGGGATGATATGCACTTTTAAAAAATCTCAACAGTGCAATCTGCACAGAACTCCTTTTGGGGGGGGGGGGGAATTGGCTAAGAGTATGCGATAGTCACATTGTCGAGGGGGGCTCGCTACTGTTGTGGGGCTGTGGGTGTCTGTGTGTCTTTTGTTTAGAAGTGTCCCATCTTGAACACAAAGTCTTGTCCTTTCTTTGCCCCGTGCTGAGAGGGACAGAGCCAAGAGATTAAACTGCCATTCTTTGTATCATCCCCTTTCAGGACAGGGATTCTTCATTTCAAATATTCAGATGAGGTGAGAGGGGGCACATAGAAGCAAGGGAATTGCTAGGGTAGGTCTATTTTCCCTGTATTTTGTTTCCATCCAGTTAAGCAGAAGCATCTCTCTTTAAACAAACTCCTGTGGGGTATTGGAAAGTGGTCACGCAAGTATCTAGCAACAGTAGCACTTAAAGCTAGGATTCAGCCTTTCCTTTCCTTAAGGGCTAGGTGTGTTGGTAAACAGTCCTGAGAACCAACCGGGAACTGTTGCTATGAGTTTAGACAAAATATCTTCCAAAACAATTATGCAAGGCCGAAAGGAAAACATCCTTAACTTTATTGGAAGTAGTGCTAGTTGCCATAATTCATTCTTTATATCATAATATTTTTTTTCAAGCTTGTAGTAACATGTTGTGCTTGTGCTTCTCAATGTTGGTAATTAAAGCAGTGAGGAAGCACCCAAGATAGTGCAATCTATATCTGTAATATGGCTCGGGAGTTTTATTCTGGGTTTGTTTGGTTGGTTTTTTTAACTCTGACTTGTGTAAGGACTTCTTAAATCTGCTTTAAACAGTGTTAAATGATCATGTTGTGTTTTATTTTATTTTCAGAGTTTCTTTCAAGTTGACAGACTCGGTCTAGAATAGTAACAAACAACATGTAACTTGCATGAAATATTAACCAAAAATGGTTTGGGCCAATGGAGTTTCTGCATAGAAGTTTGGGCGCATGTCTCGGCTTGCCCAGCTTTGCTTACTTTTTGAAGCATTTTCCCACAGTTATCAGTGAACGAAATGGAATCCTAGTCTGCTTTGAATATGAAACATATTTAGGCTATATTCCAAGCTGGTGTCCATCACAAACTAGGTTTTCATTCAGAGGCTGCATGCTGTGTCCAGTCGTGAGAAAGCAGCCTGCTTCAACTCTTTTTTTCATTTTTTTTTTCCTTTCTTTTTTCTCTCCTCTTAAGGAATTTGAGGTCTGCCTTACACTTCCACCTTGTAGCAGCTTGCTCTCAGAAATGTGTTTTGGTTTCTGTTACAGAAAAGGTGTTAAGCGCTGCAGACCACAAATAAGCAGACTGTGTCTGAGTGCAGATACAATTAAGAAGAAATAAACCTTACGATACACAGCTTCTATGGCAAAGCATCAAAACCCTTCATGGAGAGTTTTTATTTGTTCTATTATTGTTCTGCTCACCAGGAAGATGTTACATTTATTACTTTATTTATAGTTATTATTATATTTTTTACTTTTCACATCATATTTTTTCCTATGTTTCCTCAGCTTTTTTTTTTTTTTTTTTTTTTTTTGGGGGGGTTGGTTTTTTTTGTTTTT